TTCCCTATCCTGTGTCCAGATATAGATGAATGTAACCTTCCTGAAAAGATCTGCGTGAAAGAGAATCAAGACTGTGTTAATACTTCAGGTAGTTACAAGTGTGTATGTTCAGAAGGGTTTGAAGATAACGATGGAACATGTGTTCAAACTGCAAAACCAGGCAAGTGGCTTGTCAATGACAGGTTTTTAAAAAATATGTTACATCGACAACTTGGAAGTCTATTTCTGTCTAAGGGTCTAGTCACTCATAAACTCTTCTTTATAATTTCTCATCTTCCTACAGCAATGGGCTGTGTCTAGTCTGTGGTGTAGGTCACGTTCTGGCATGCTTGTTTGTCATGCCTGGACTGTTGTGACCTCCGGGCTCGCTTCAGATCGTGACTTACGTTCTGGATTCCCTCAGACAACGTAAGAGGTGCAACCACACCAACAATTAGAGAATGTAAAAGATTTACTGATCATGTGTAATAAGCAATAGCTAGTGAAAGGGATTGCATATTAGAGAGAAGTAGAATGGTTAAGAGAAACGGGAGAGAAAAGAGGAAAGGGGAGGAAAGAGGAGAAAGGAGGTAGAAAGATCACCACCCTGGGTTCCATTTTCAGATGCAGGATGATGGAGCGCCACCTCCTAAAATCAGTCAGGCCTTTGAATCCTCGTGAAAGCTACCCTGAGAAGTGTCTCAACTCAGGGAAAGATAGTGGGTCATACAGCACGCTGTGGTCCTAGAGAGCTCTCAAAAGGTATCCCTTTTGAATTGCTATTACACAGAATCACAGAATGTCAGGAGTTGGAAGGGACCTCAAAAGATCATCTAGTCCAGCCCCCCTGCCAGAGCAGGATCGCATACAGCAGATCGCACAGGAACGTGTCCAGGCGGGTTTTGAATGTCTCCAAAGAAGGAGACTCCACAACCTCCCTGGACAGCCTGTGCCAGTGCTCTGCCACCCTCACAGTGAAAAAGTTTTACCTAATGTTTTTGTGGAACCTCGCATGTTCCAGCCTGCATCTGCTGCCCCTTGTCCTGTCATTGGACATCACTGAGAAACGACCCTACGGTCTTGAGATCATTGGCTTTGGTCATTCATGCTGGGTCACTCTGATGTAACAGCACTTGAGACAATGCGATGTGAGTTTCTCCCAAGGCGTTCAAGGCTTATGTGCCGTTCAGCCTGCATATGGCCCGGGTGGCCAGGAGGTGCTCAGCACCCAAATTGCTGTAGTTGTCACCAAGATACCAGCACAGTGCAACTTATCCTGAGATGTCAGAGTGACCCTGGGGCAGCTGCACCACCACAAGGTGGAGTCTGCATTAATTTCCACACAGTCGCTGTGACATTTTCCAGGGAGTTTCTCTAATGAGTTGGGGGATTGCCTTGTGAGGGGGAGGATGTCTCCTGGATATCTCTTGGATATCTCTGGTGGTCCTCTGGGAGTTGAGTTCCCCTGTAACTTGCCTGACTGTAGGCACTGTTCAACCATCACAGCGTTCAATCCACACACAAAGGAGACAGACCATCCCTGTTCCAGTGATCTCCCACAATCAGGCCCAAGTGACAAGATAAGGACCATGGTGGTTTGAGATATTCTTCTTTACGGTCTCTCACACATGTATTTTTGCTTAAAGACAGTGAAATTTTTTCAACATCCTGTTCTTGTGTTGATATTTTTTTGCTTAGCTCAGGGTTGTGTTTGTAAATCACTTGAGTGTGTGCTTTCATCACCTCGAGCGAACTAGCGAATTACTGATATCATTAAAAAGAGGCCTTCCTCCTCCCCACTTCTGTCTCTTATCATTAACAATAATGACTTTAGGGTTTATGGGATTGCATGCTACCTGCTTCACCTCAGAAAATTAAACAGAGTTCTTTTTGCTGGATGAGTGAGCTGAATTTATTTTGTGATCACAGAAGTGCCAGAGCTGGTGTGAGGGTGCATATGGAGAAGACATCCTTCTTTCAGTAGTAGAGAACTATTTAGCTTGAATTAAAGTGTACCCTCAGTCAAGAAATTCAGGTGTAATTTGCTCTAGGATGTGTGACTTGTGGACAGAATTATGTTAGTTCATGTTGCATAACTCTGCCTAGGCTTTCTTCAGAATTCTGAAGTGAAAGACAGGATTATTTTGCAATAAAGGTTGTAGGATAATAGATGATAGACACTTAAATAAATAAAATAAAGGTATGAAACTATTTTCTTTCTACTTCTTAGCTCGTTTGGGTTTGTGGCTTGTTTGGGGTTTTTTGGTTGTTTTTTTGGGGGAGGGTTTTTTTTTTATTATTTTGCCCTTCACCCTTCTCCCCAGCTGCTTTCTCAACTGCTTTTTTTTCTTTTTTTTTTTTTTTAGTAAGTTGTGAAGTTCTAGGTAGTATTACTACTCAAGGCTATTCGATTCAGACCTTATACTCACTGTTACTTGTCCTTTAAAATCATTTATGTACTTTTCCTGTGCAGATGCTCAGGGTATCAGTTACTATGGTTTTTTTAATGTGGCTTGACATTTTATGAGAATAAAAGCAAAATGAAAAGTTGACAAATTGGCTTAGCTTTTTTCTTTGATAAGTGCTTTTACCAATATAATAAAATTGCTCTGTTTTTTTAAAGGCTATTTTAACATCTGAACTGAGCAGTTTGCTCTATAGAAAATAATTCTGAGTAGTACTTGCTTTTATAAAATTCTTTTGTTAAATGCCAGAATTTCTTCTGACAGAATATATGGAAAGAAGAAAGTTCTCTGTGACTAGCTGAAAATAAAAGCTTAGAATGGAAATACCTGTGCTGCTTTTTCCTTCCACTAGTAATATCATGCCAGTTTGAAATGTTTTGTTTGCATCTACTAAAAAATGAATAAATTATAGGCTTAGACTAGGAGGATAAATACATTGATCTGGGTTTCCTTTTAAATTTTATAATAAAAAATTATATGGTATAATTAATAATACTTTCTATTTGTATTCTAATTATGATACTTAATTTCACAGGAGAGGAAGTAGAGAGTGAAACAACTGAGCCTTCGCCTACTGGACATGATGACTTATGATCTGCATTCAGAACCAAAAGACATTCCTATGTAAAGTTTTAAATTATTGGACTAAGCCTCTGCTAGCTGACATGCTGTGGAAATGGTATTAAATATGCAGGTTGCGATTAAGATTTATTGGTTGTTTTTTTTAAATGGTGATAGATGGCTCTTTAAGCTGCATTTCCTTTCTTAAATGCCACTTTTTATATAATTCTTCGAGAACAACATTCTAGGTGGGTTAGTATAAAATTTGAATTAACATAATAATGTACACAGCAATTTTAAAAATTTTACAGGTTTCTCATTCTAGTGCCTACTGAAAACATCATTTGGAAGGACTTAGTTGCACTTCAGTCTAAATTTTTCTTGAAGTATGAATTTTGGTGTTTCTTGACATGAGAAATATTTCTGTAACTGAAATACAGCTTTTTGAAATTGTCAAAGGGAATCTCTTTGGGGGAAGCACTGTTCCCTTAAACAGAATAGAATGCCTACTACTGCATTCAATAAAGTTTATTTTGTTGGAATGTGCCTTAAAAGTTTTTAAGATGTTAATACCTTGCTGTGTTGTCATGTCTATTTTTTTCATGAAGGCAGTGGAAAAAAAAAAAAGGGAGATATAACAAAATACCAAATAGACAAAACCCCCACAAAAACAAAACCACTTGTACCTTGAAATACAGCATTGTATTTTCACTCCATACGCGCACTTTCCTCTTAACGAAGAGCTGTATCAAACTGAAACAACTTTCCAAAGGTAGGTAGACAAGTCTTTCTTTCACATACTTGTATTAAGTCTGTAAACTAGTTTTTACAGTGATGAAAAGTAAGTTTGGCTAACACCTGCACTCTGTGGCTTATGGTTGTTGTACGAGTACTCTCTAGAATTATGAATAAATGACTTTCACTACAGTCTGCTGCTGCTGCTGCAGCTCCTGTCTTTTTCAGAGCCAGCACTGCAATCAATTTATCTTGTTTCTTGTGCCATTTCAGAGGGAAAGCTGGTAAATGTAGCATACATGCAACTTCCTACATGTCCGTAAGCTTAAAGGTGAGTATAAGAACTGAAATTGGTATATTCCACAGGACCGTCACAGCTGTAGATAAGATAAGGACCATCCAACTACAGTAAAGCATTGAGGGAAGTGAGTAAAGTTCAGAATGCGCTGTGGTGGTGGACAGAGGGAACATAAAAGGGATTACAGAATACAGCTAAAAAGAGCGTAGTTTAGGCTTACCTGTGAAAAGGTTGTAAACAGTACCCTGAGGTAAGTGGAAATAAAAAGGGTATGAATAAGATTGACCTGTCAAGCAGTGAAGGCCAAACACCTCATGTCTGTATCTGAAGACTTCTTTGGTTGAACTACATCACAGCTCAGTTTGTCACCAGCACACGTAGGATTTGTACGTGCAATAGGTATTTACTTGAATATCACGCAAAAAGGGATTCTGTTGGATTCTTCAGTTAAAATCCATCTAAGCTGATTTTGTATGCTTTAGTTTAACTACTCAACAGAATAAAAGTATCTGAAACAGTTTTCTTTATTTCCTTCAGCTATTACATGTAGATGTTTCTTAGTTTGCCAGTCTGAGAATGGTAATTTCAGTGCTTTCTCAGCTGTAATTGCCAGAGATGACCTATATGGCACATATCTGTCAAGTTGTAGGGTAGGTGTTATGTTAAATAAGTGCTAAATTAAAATGAGGAAAAAGACAACTGGAGGGCACAGGGAGTACAACTGAAGGGTCTTCAGGGTTTTGTAGTAGAGGTGTAACCGGTTACAGTAATATTAGACCTTAAGGTTCTTAGAGGAGTAATGGTTTGTCTTTTCTCAGTCACTGATGATTAACTTCCAGGTGTTCCAGGTGATGGTCTGAATGGTCCTTGTTAGTAGTAACATGAAATGTCAGTTCTGTTTAGAAACTCATACTCGGGAGAATTATTTTTCCAGTGCAAACTCTTCATGTGTCAAACCTGAAATATTGCTTCCTCTTCATATGAAGAAGAACTTGCTGCTCGTTCCTTCAAGTTGTTTGAGACTCTAGGGGGGCACCTGATGAGGTTCTTAACTGCATTATGGAAGCATTTGCTTTCTGTTTCCTCGCCCCACCTTTCCCCCCAGCTCTGGACAAAAGCCATGACTGGATTGCTCCTAGTTAAGCTTAACTCTGGGATGATATAATAAACCCCTAAAACTTCAAGAATCTGTTTTTTCTTTGGAGATAGAGGAGAAAAACTCTTCCTACCCTCACCTGCAAAAGCAATGAGAGTAGTTCAATATAACTGAAGTGTTTTTCAGTTCCAGAGAATAATGTGTTCAGCTTTCTGTTACTGCAGTAGAACCATCAGAGTGGTGTTCCCTAGGAAAAATATAGAAGTGTTATATGGGTATTACGAGTGACTAGTATCTTTTTCCCTATCCCTTAATTATTAGCACTTATTCCTCTGCATTCAATTATTGTGGATAAAATCGTTAAGTCAAGGGTCCAGAGAGGTGAATTTCAAATATTTACAGCTTTCTCTGAAGGAATATTGACGAAGTACTCAGTAAGTATTTCACACTATGCTACTGCCTCATGCCCTCTCAGTGGTGAGTTTCTAAAGAGTTAGTCCTCTTGTTTTATTCTGCATTCTCATTTTACTACTTTGAACTGTGATTACTGCTTTGTTTTAAAGGTTGCAACTAAAAATGGTTCTGACTGAATTTTTATTCTGTTTTTTTTAAATTTCTCCTCTGCCCTGAATAGAGTGGGAATCAGACTCCTAGTTGTCTTGGGTTTTGTCTCTCATAATCAGAATAAAGGGGGTGGAGAACAGGTTTTAAACTGGTTAGCAGAAGCTGGCAATGGAGGTCAAGTGTATTGTGTTAACCAAACCAGTTCAGGGTATGAATGTGTTAACAGCTTAGTGCTATAAAAAGTGAGCTGTTCCCATTTAATTTTTCATTACACTGTAAGATGATCTGGTTATGTAGTAAAAGACTTTGTACTTATGGTTGCCTAGAATTAAAGGTTTCATGTCAAACTATATGAACATGTTGGTAAATACTTCAGAAGTGGTCTGAGATACCCAACAAAGTTTGTGCCTTAGCAAAGTGTTGGTTAGGTACTTTTGTCATAAATACTAAGGTGAACCTTGAACTTGTAGTTTAACACTTATTTTGTAAACTTCATACTGTGTGGTGTCAAAGTATAAAGAGTATTCCTTTTGCTAGTTTGTTGTTGGGGTTTCTTGACCTAAGACTAAGCACTTTTTGCAGTGGGAAATATACTATTCAGTACCATCGAGGCACTTCAAAGGACAAGTTTCTCTGTTATATTATAGCTGAAGGTCCACAAAAGGTGCAGGAGCAAGCAAACCTTAAAGCTCTAAACAAGGCCAGGAAAGCAGTCTCAAGCATGCAGCATGTGTACCACAATCCTACAGTGTCTAAACTTGAGAATCAAAGTACTTGCTGAAATGTTTTCATCTGAGCATTGGAACATAATATTGAATTTATTCTATGATGTGGATTCCCAGCATGTCTTTCATAGACACTTGAGTTCTTTGAAAAGTATAATACCATCCATTCACAAATGAAGTCTGTTTTGCAGAATAAGTTGATGATTTGGGTAATTGAGGAAGTCAGAGATCACCACAAAGGGTTCAAATCACTAACTTCTTTCTCAGGAGAGATGCTAAAAGCCGTAGGTTGTAGACAAGATCAGGATGCAAGTCACTACTAATATATATATATGCCATAAAATTACACCACTGTTTTTTCCTTGTGTGGTTGATGAGGGTTGATCATACATCATCCTAGTTGTACAGGAGAGGCAGTTACCATTGTTAGCCTTTGAACTGACATTTGCAAGTTAAAAAAGCACCAAGAGTTTTTAAAATCACCAAATCACATTATGAATGTTAAGCTCTCATTGTATATAGCATTATGTGCATGCATCAAAATAATTCTCCCTGACAAACAGGGTGTACCCTGCCCTTCAAGTTGCTTTCAGACCATTCTTAATACAGCACAAGTTAGGCATACCAGTAATTCAAACTTGCCTTTACAAGTGACTCATTGAAAACAATGTATGCGAGGAAAAAAAAGAAAAAAGCTTAAAAACCCCCTGGATCATATACAGCAATAGTACAAAAGACAGTTCTCCATAATGGTCCTAGCTGACCTTCTGATGCCCCTCCCTTCCCTCTGTCTATCAGTCTGCCGTGGATTATTTTCTGAGATTATATTTTATCTGTTCTGAAAGGAAACTTCTGAGGTTATTCAAAGCAACTGTCTGTGGTTGGTTTTTTTTCTCCTTCCTTGGATCAAAGTGGAATTTTCCTCGTCTTTTTCAGTGACTTCATGTCATGTCTAACTTTCTGCTTCAATTCTAGTGTTAATCCAAATATGTTCTGTGGATAGAGTTTTTATCTGTTTGCAAGGATCTTGTTTTTTCTCAGGTTTGTCTTAGAATTAGATCTTTCTTATCCGAGACTAGCTTTGAAATTGTGTTTCTGTTGCATTAGATCTCTTTTTTTTTTTTTGGTAGCCTCTTTTACTTAATACTTTTCTAAGAAAAAGTTAAAATTCAAGTTAATACTTCCTCTTACAGGACTAGAATGTTAAAGTTTAATTTCTAGTCTACTGATTGTTCTTTGTGGCACACATGGCCATGTACTTGTTACCATGTCTTGTTGAATTTCTTGGGGGTGAGGGGGGGTTAGTCCTATTGAATCTATGTGTCTTAAACCAAGACTCTGGAAGGTAGCAGAATCTCCTGGGATAATATGCTGGGCAGACTTCAACCTGTTTAGAACACTGGTTGAGAAAGTCCCTTGGAGTACAGTCCTAGAGGGCAAAGGGGTCCAGGAAGGCTGGACTCTTTTCAAGAAGGAACTCTTAAAGGCCCAGGAGCAGGCTGTCCCCATGTGTCGTAAGATGAACCGGCAGGGAAAATGACCAGCCTGGCTAAATGGGGAGCTTCTGGCAGAACTTAGGAGAAAGAGGAGAGTCTACCACCTTTGGAAGAAGGGGCAGGCTACTCAAGAAGAGTACAGGGATTTAGTTAGGTTATGTAGAAAGAACATTAGGGGGACAAAAGCTCAACTAGAACTCAGCCTGGCCACCGCTGCAAGAGACAATAAAAAGAGTTTTTACAAATATATTAATAATCAAAAAAAACTAGGGAGACTCTCCATCCTTTA